TCACTTTTGGACGTAAAACCTCTGTGTCATTTCGACCAATGTAAAATACATATGAATGAATGTATATGAAATCGCCCTCGATTGATTTTTTTTTGTAAAACGTTATGCAAATAACTTATGAATTTTTCATTATTTCGAATGTCTTTTGAAACAACTATTAAAAAGTGATTTTGAATCATTTCCCCACTCGATCTTTATATAAAAGGAAAGTAAACGATCAATTTAACAATACTTTTGTCGTATGTAAGTTTATACCAGCAGTATCTATTTAGATTCATTTCCTATACCTCAGGCAGTAAAGTCACATTGTGACAGTCGTTGGACCTGATTGAAGGCACACGGAAGGACATAAAGCCCAGCTCTGGATTGTAAAGCTGGGATTGAGACAATCTTGCTTACCCCTGCTATAAATTGATATAAAATTTAAGGGCGAGGCCTTATAGCAAATAATAGTTAGATGTGGAAAAACATCCTTCCCACTCACTTTATTGTTCCCTTGTATTATATTACCTACTAAACCTTTGCCTTAGAATTCAATTTCTCTGGTGTCGTTTTAATTTTATATCAACGCCGTTCGACGATGATTACACGCGAAGAAGGGAAAATAGGCGTCGGCCTTAATTTTACAGCTCATACTGGAGTTTATAGCGTCACATACTGCAATTGAGCTTTATCGAAATTCTCTTTGTCAGCCCAGACTTGTTTTGGAGAGGTATTTTTTCAATATCCTTTGTTTGGAGGACTTCACAGGAATGTTTTGCTTATCGTAATTCAATATATTGGATCCAGTATCCCACCAAGGATGGCACTATACCTTTTCATCTCTCGTTGAACAAATTTCCTAAAAATATTCCGACTATGCATCAATTGAGATATCAACTTGTGCTTTAACGACCGGCATATATTTGAAATATTCGATTTTCGGGATTGATGGTTTAGTTACGTTTGTTGGACCGTTTCTGATAAAGATAGCCTTAGTGTTTTGTTTTGGCAAAAAATACATAAATGGCAATCTTGTTATCTTAATTAAAGCCCGTTTAGTTTAAACTTAGGGACGGTCTATTTTTACAATGGAATGAAGTGATTATCGGGCAATATTTGTGCCTGGGAGCGCATTTCTTATTTAGAAAAAAAGCGGTTAGTGTTAATGACAGTAGGTTTTATGGAAGGGTCGCACGTCAAGGGCTCCGTATTTAATTAGATGACAAGGTAGTGGGATATTGGCGTGTTCGAAGTAACACGCGACACACCCTCACGCATCGGCCCTATCAAGATACCAAAAGGTCTCCTACTTATCGCACAATAAATGCCCTTACCGACTCCGAAGGACCTAACAAGCGGTCATTTTTTTTTTATCGGCTCTCCGTCCCCAGGCTGGATGTTGAGGCACTCCCGAAAGCAAATATACGCCTCAATTAGCCTTTCTTAATTGTCTTGCAATAACTCGCCGACACGCCAGCTTTTCGTTTTACAATTCTAAGCAGAAATTAAGCGGATACGCGGGAATATGTCATGCTTAGATAACATAACAATACCTTTCATCGGCCTCGGTCTACAATTATGTTCTAATCTTACGTATATAATATAAATGATGAATAATGCAAGACAAAATATTCGTGTCTAACTTAATAGTAAATCAACATTTATTAACGCTATGGCGTCGCCTCTTGGAAAACATCAAATCTCGGGGTGTAAGTCTACCGTTGAACTGCTACCGAACGTTTTTGCTTTCTCGCGCCTGATATTTTCCATTAAAAAATTATGAGATTTTTTGACAGGTGGCACATTCTTAAGGAAATTTGATTTTCCCATGACACACTATTTTTGGGGATTTGATCTACCATACTCCTTGGAAAAAAATGTGCTGACGATACCAAGCCTACCAGAAGCAGTTATTTTCTTTGTTTTTTTAATTCTTCGAAGATTTTATACTGTTTAAACTGTATAAATTTGTACTAGCGAAACGGCTATCTCTTCGTCTGAAAGGGGCGTCAAAAACAACCTCAATTTGTTGAAAATTCAATAGGTAACGGAGATTTGTTGATGGTAAGTCCATGTGTTAAAAAAATCGTATAGTCTTCAGAGAATTAGTTCGAGATCCCGTATTTCCTGCATTTCCAGCCAATATTTTTACCATCTCTTAGTTAAACACCCTGGATAATACAGATTTTTTGACTATCCTTAAAATTGGTACGTATAGATTGCAAATTTATATACATAAAACCTTTAGGTTACTTCTTGCTTCGATAAAATTCCATATTCTATCTCTACTAGATCGTAAAAATTTACTTTTGCTTATGTATAGGGTTATATATGTAGGGTTACATTACCCTTGCCTATTAAACATATTTTAGAAAAATTTATTATAAAAATTATTGTTGGATTAATTGAACTGGCCTCGTGGAGAATGGTGTGATTTCATTTTTGTAACATGTTCAAGCATAAGTTAAAAAATCTTCAGAACGAATGCTGTTGAATTTACACTTCCGATATTTGTATACTACATTTTTTCACCCCTTCCAGCCACGCGGTAATGGAAATAAATGGTTGATGGCTCCACAACCCCATTACATTACTTCAGGGCGCCAAAAGTACAGTTATTTTTCCCATTTTCCACAGCTCGAAAAAAAAGAGGTGGTCGTGTGGGTGAAATTCTCACCGAATGGTCTGGCGTTTTTTTTAATCAAGCCGGCCTGTGAATTCACTCCCTCGATGCGCGTATTAAACGGGATTTGATGGCTATTCCGAAATTCCATTTCAGTAATCCCTCGGAATGTCGGCGAGTGGCGGACGCCATCCGCATAATTTTCCTACACTCATAATGCGATAATTACGGTAGAGGTGGAGGGCATAAATCTGCTGCTTAGACTTCCGCCGGGGAATTATGCCCGCATCGGCCATTTGGTGCCGTCCGTGTGCCGTTGGGAGTCACACGGCGGCCGGACCAATTAATGTATTTCGCACACGTAAAATTTATCGGTGGAAATCAATGTCTAGGTGTAATGAGGGGTGATAACCCTCCCGGGAAATCACTTTCTATATTACATCCCCCACGTGACAACAATTCCAATTCGATCCTTATTTCAAGCCTGAAATTCGATAGCCCAATTTTCCAATTTTCTCCTTATACTCGCTAACAAACTCAAATTTACTGATTTACTAATTGTCAATGTAGTAAATACACTTTGAAATAAGTGTAATATACCTACAACATTGTTCATTTAACTTTAATACATTTTAATTACAGTTGTAATAGAAAAATATAAACGAATCTACCTTCACAGAGAGCTTCTTTAGCCTTTTTTCTATTCTCTGTCTAGACAGAAAAAGGCGTCCAGACAAACTAGATGGAGATTTGCTTTATACAATGTTTTGCCAGTTTTCGTTCTAAATTCATTTGCAACATTTGTTTAAGACAAAAAAGTTGTCATACTGAACGGAATATATTATAATACATGAGAAAGCATGAAACATTCAGAAGCACTTCAACGGTATACTTATGCCACCGGATTTGATATTTTCTAAGTGGCGATGCCATAGCGTAAATAAATGTTAATTTACTATTAACTTAGGTACTAATAATTTATCTTGCATTAACGGATGGTAGATTGATAATACCTTTAATCACCTTCAAAAATGGCCCATAAATAAAAAGGCTTAAACTATCCATGAAAAGAAGAAAAAGAAGGACAACAGAAACGAAAGCACACCAATTTATTTTTAGTTTTTGTTATATATCAACGAATTGTGCTTACAAATCAACCATTAAATCATATCATAACATAATAGGGGTATTGACAATGTTAGTATGATGCTAACTCGTGTTAACTCGAAAAGAGAAATGTCCAGTAAGATCGTATACACCGCCTTTTTTTCTTAGCATGTTAAACGTTAATTTTTCCGCAATGCTCCGCTTGGCGATTGGTAGAACCAAAAATAAAGCGATAACAGTCCTTGAAAGCTTGTTATTGTTTGTTTTGGTTTTCTTTTGTGTTAAATTGTAATAGCTAATTTAAAAGATAAATTAATTTTAAAACATTAATTAATTGAAAAGAATTTATTAGGTCAATCGGACCACGAAACCTAATCGAATTTAATAAGCACACTGAAGTATACTTCATTAATGTTCTCCGTGGCCAGTTCATTTGTCGCCGAGAATCAAATAGATTTCACGCATTTGGAAAATGGCAAAAAGGATGGAAAATTCAAAAGGTGGGGTTGAGATGGGAAGTTGTTGTCGGAGTGGATCGAAGTCACGATAGCTCAAGTGGTAGAGCAGCGGCGTATCTAGCCGAAGATCGTGGGTTCGAATCCCGCTCGTGACACTGCCTTCTTTTATCTCAACCAACACCTTTCCTTAAGATTAACTAATTGAGAAGAATTTATTTGGTCAATCGGACCACAAAACCTAATCGATTTGATAAGCAAAATGAATTATACTTCATTAATGTTCTCCGTGGCCATTTCATTTGTCGCCGAGAATCAAATAAATTACACGACATTTGGAAAATGGCAAAAAGGTGGGAAAATTGAAAAGGTGGGGTTGAGATGGGAAGTTGTTGTCCGAGTGGATCTAAGTCACGATACTCAAGTGGTAGAGCAGCAGAGTATTTAGCCGAAGGTCATGGGTTCGAATCCCACTCGTGACACTGACTTTTTTATCTCAACCATTACCTTACCTAAAGATTAATTAATTGAAAAGAATTTATTTGGTCAATCGGACCACGAAACCTAATCGATCTAACATCTAACATCGGCCCTGGCCTGTTAAATCGAGCAATGTTACCTAGCCGATTTTTACAAGTCTACGTCATTATTTTTCTTGATCTAACCGGACCTAACAGACTTAACAGGGTTAACACAAAGAACGTAAATCCCCCTAATTTTAATAAAAATCGACCTGCAATATACGAGAAAATTAAAAAATATGTACATAATAAGTATTTCTGTTTAAGGTTTTTAGTAAATTTTATTTAATTAGTTGTTTTCTTTATTTGCAGACCATGTACGAGAATTTACCTGTGGGAAAATGTACTACAGGACAGTGTTCCTGGATGAGAAGAAGGACTCATTGTATATCGGAGCCATGTAAGTACCTGAAAATCAAAATTTGACAGTTGTGAATTTGGTAATTTTTCTTAGATAATTTAAATGGTATGGTTCTACAAGTGTCAAATAAACATCATCTTAAGAAGATAAAAGCGTATTTTCGTACATTTTTGCTTTACAAATGGAAGTAGTTCAATTGGAAATAAATGTTGGAAAGTATTATTTATATCGACTTCCTTAGGCAGATAAAAAGGAAAGTTTAGTGACTTTGATGAAATATTAATCGTTTAAGCGAACGTTTATTTTTAACTCGACTTGAATAAAACTCGTTACATTCGATTGGAACTGCCGATTTTACTAATTCAGTCAGACGAAGGGCTCGCCGGAGAACGAGATACAAAGGCCAGCCCAACAAGTTGCTGCCCTGAGGGAGGAAGGGAGGCGAGACCTTACTGGAATACAGATGATACTTGTCCCTTCAGACACTGACAGACACCGCCTCCTGTGAGAATACAAGTTTATTCCTTCCTCCAAAGCATATTTTTCCTCCTCTCGCTCTCTCTCTTTCTCCACATTTTCATAACCTCAGGTTTTACATTATGTTACTAAACACCCGGCAAGCGTGAAAATTTATTGCCACCAAATCTCACAAATAGGTCAGAATAAGTTGTTTGTCCGACGTGAGTTTTATCTTAAATGCATGTTTTTTCACTTTATTTTATCTTATATTGTCCTTCATTATTTTCGATAACGTATTGTGAAGTCAAAATGGACATTTTTATAATCCATAGCTGGACATTCTCTACACGACAGATAAGAATGACACATCGATACGGAAAAGATGATCTCAATAAATTTCGAAACGTTGGCTCAATAAAGAAAATGTTTTTCTAAAACCTACGTCACATCAGACCCCATCTCTAGACTTCCAAATAATCATCATGTAACGATCACTAAACACCACACATAATCCATAACACAATCATAGAATCGCATTGTTTTAGTTGCGGTATACAAGAGAAAAACAACCACAACCCTCCGCAAAGTTCATTTTCTCATACACAAATATATGTAGATAAAAAATGTTGTTTAGGCAATAATCAAGTACTTGTAAGTTGGCTAAAAACCATATGTTTTATTATAAATAATATATAAATATGTGCGAAATTTGCGACAAATTATTTTACGTTATTCGTTATATACTACAATTATTTTTTTTATTACATTTATTTGGTATTTACAACTACAACTGATGTATTAAGTAAATATGTTCGTATATGTTGTATTAACTACAAAAATAGAAAAAATTAAGTTGTTAAGTAAGATTAATAAATTAATGTTAATACGAAGTGATGAATTATTTGGCAATTTCGTTTACTTTAATCATTATTGAAAATGGTAGAGGGTTCAGTGATCCAATTGTTTCAATAATCTCAAATTTATTTTTAATTTTATTCATGGTTGAATAATTAATTGGACAATAAATTGTCTTTGGCTTTTATCCTATCCATATCACGTAAAAAGGGAGCGAAATAAAGTGAAATATATCTAACCCACACTTTGAAATCTGAATAGCATTAATATTTATATAAGAAAGTAGTAACATTTGTTCTACAAATCCTTTCTCCGTGAGTAGACTGTTCTTCGTAACATATGTTCATACAAGGGCCTTATGCACACACTCGAGATCTGGCTTTCCATCCTTTAGCTACCTGGTGTTTGTTTACCACCTATTTTTATGTTAAACTCGACACGTTAGTGTAATTTCAAAGGTAAATATAATGAGAAGAATGGGGAAAAAACGTTTTCAAGGGCCTTCGTGACTGGATGTGTACCCAAACAAATATCGGCTATTACATTTTCCCCCACGGACGAATTATCATAAACAAACTAGCCGGAGGCTTGTCGATCTTCAGGAACCATTGACATCAGTTTCGCTTCAACCTTCGACAGACATGTGCGACCGGAGATACTGCACGCACTCCTGTCACACACGCAACCCACTCCAATTTACTTTGATACTCGACTACCTTTGACCGCATCACAATTCACCCCCGTTTAAAAAAACCACAAGGGGCTTTTCTACGTATCGTCTTTTAGGAAGGTCGGTAATGATACACGTTTACCGTCGCACGGGGAATAAAAATATTCCAAACAACATTGTAATTTCGGCCGATTTATTTCTGTTTTTGATGCAAACGAAGCTAAACATGATAAAACGCTGCTTACACGCAACACGCACATTGCTTATACATATTTTCTCTATGCTTATACAGACTTATATTCTTTGGTTTAGTGAATAGAAAGTGTTATAATATAATAATCTACTGTAAGAAACACCTTTTTCAAAAAATATTTCACTACATAGTGAAAATATAAATTTTTATTGTTTAATAATTCTGTCACTCTCTCTCTCTCTCCCTCTCACTCACCCTCTCCGTCACCCTCTCTCACACTCTCTCACCTCTCTCTTTCTCTCTCTCTCTCACTCTCTCTCTCTCTCTTCTCTCTCTCTCTCAGTATCAAAAGAACAAGAGATAGAAATATTTTCACCTTGAAAAAATAAAACATTATGATCAAACTCACTCCTTCAGAATGCTCGATACTTCTGGGGCGAGTTTAGAGCCAATTCACGATAATAAATTATATATATTTAATATGTGATAGTTCAGATGTCTAGAACTGCAAAATGTTGGCTTTTTGGTAATTTTTGATTATTAGTTTGAGGCCACAGCTTTAAAGACAATTGATTTTATTGTTTAATGTCACACATTATTGCGTAAAAGAATAGGGCCAGACTAAAGATATAATATTTTTCTATTAAACTTTTAAATATTATAAAAGCGTAATCAGCTGTAAAATCAAAATAAATTGGTGGTTTACAAAATGTTTATAACAAAAATCTTATTATAAAAAAGCAATATTCGTTCCAAAGCAATAAAGTTGACTGTTCAGTAAATAATGGGTGTTTTGAAAAATTATATTTTTTCATATCGAAGGTATGCGCCTTTCTTTGATTGATAAAGATTGATATTGGTCATTAGTGATCGGGAAATAAAATACTGACAGAAGTAAGTGTTTTCTTGATCCAACAAAACGTACGGAAAGTTTAAAAATATTTCTTGAGGTTATTGACTTTGCTTTTATTAATTATTTCTTTTGGTTAGCAAGTTTACATGTTCCTCCAAGGCTGACATTTGATACTCGTTCGTACAGTCGATAACGCCAGAAAAATAAATTAGGACCCATGTAACGGGCCTATATCACATATAAATCTTTCAATAATGTATAGAGTGATTAAATTACATTACGAGAGGTCAGTATATCTTTTTTGAAGGGTGCAACAGAGATATATGGTAGTCCCAGAGCTGAAGGGTCGAGGCCGGTTCGTTACCTCGGCCCGACCCACGTGGAGATTTAGCACAGTTCGTTTGTTCTAATTATATACAGGGGCCTTATAATTTTCACAGGCTGAATCAGCCCTCTAGCCTGTGTGTAAGTTGATTATGAGCAAAAAGCACCAGCCCACTCCGCGCTCGTTTCGCCTCTGTAATCCGCGGGATGAGCAAGAACCCAATCTCTCTCTCACTCTCTCTCACACACTCTTTCTCTCTCTCTCACACTCTCTCCCGTTTTCCTAATTGTTTCGTCTGATTTAGAAGCAAGCATGATGTTTCTTGTTTAGGCGTTGTTCCTACGAGGTAAATATTATGCTTTTTATTACGCCGAACGGACGTTAAAAAAAGGCAAATGGGACAGCTAGGCAATAAAACTGGCCTTTTGTAATCCGAAGTGTTTTAATGTAATTATATTTTAATATTAAAAAATAATAGTTGAAAATTTATTTCAAACAAATCAATTGTTACTATTCAAGTATTCCACTTGCAAAAATTGAATTTGATTAAAGTTTTTCTGAGTCCATTATATTTAGTAGTGAATTGACCAAATTACTTCTTTCAATTAATTAATCTTTTTATGTAAGGTTTTTGGTTGAAATGAAAAAGTTAGTGTCACGAGCGGGATTCGAACCAATACCTTCGGCCTAATGCGCCGCTGTTCTAACCATTTGAGCTATTGTGACTACTAGGATACCCCCACCCCATCTCAACCTACCGTTCGAATTTTCCCTCCTTTTTGCCATTTTTCAAACGTCGTTCGAATTTTTGAAAAATGGCAAAAAAGGAGGGAAAGTTCGAACGGTAGATTGAGATGGAGAGTTGGTGACGGAGTGGATCGAAGTCACGATCGCTCAAGTGGTTAAAGCAGCGGCATTGAGCCGAAGGTCGTGTGTTCGAATCCCCCTCGAGACACTAACTTTTTGCTCGATATATTGCAGTATCAAATAACCAACAAAAAAATTGTCCAAATCGGTGACCACCTGGTGGTCCCTTTATAAGTAATTCACATAAAACACCATAACATATTTCTAACATTCTCTATGTTAATATTTTGCTACGAATCAGCAAATAATCATACGTACATTTTTTCACAAATATGAATACAACAATAATATGGAAGATAATAGCATAAACATGTCACGTCGATAAAGAAATTGCTATATTATAAAACGCCAAAGATATAAGATAAATTCATCAAGCATTGTGCATTTTTTTTATTCAGTGTTATATATTAATAACGTGTAAAATCATTATTCATGGTAACGGATTTCCGTAAAATTTTACAATTTTGTTTGATACTAAATTTATTCCTTTTTTTTCCAAATCGTAATTTTCCAAAGCAGGTTTGCGTAAATTTACGTAAAATTGAGCTGTTTGCTGCCAAGTGACATTCGTCCTAATTAATTTCTAAATTACATGGTAAACGAAAGTGTACCTGGGTTTCTCTGATATGCAAAATTAGGGGGTAGCAACTGCCTTGTGTGTGTATGTGTGTGTGTGTGTGTGTCTGACTAATTACTTTCTTTTAGGCAGTAGAGTAAATTTTGTCCAACGGATATAACAAATAACTAGTTAAATATAGCTAGGATAGTTAAAGTATTCTATTTGCAACATCAAATTCTCCTTTGTTGAACAAATATT